GGTGCCTGGGAGGACCTCCGGGGGGCGCGGGCCGCAGGCTAGGGTGGAGGTCGCGGGGCTGGGGGCGTCTCCAGAGCTAGGCCGCTGGGGGATTGGCCCGGCGTGGCCGATGTCCTACTGACCCATTCCTTGGTGGGACCGGAGGAGAGCAGGGTGCCCTGGCCCCTGCGACCCCAGAGCTGACCTCGCCAAAAAGTTGTGGGCACTCACGCCCCCACCCCCTTTCCGCCCTCACCCCTCCCCTTTGTTTGGGACTTAGCCTGTGGGGCTCCGCTGGCTGGATTGACACCTTGGCTGGAGCCCAGGCCTCCGTGCCAGCGAGAAGGTAGGGCAGGCCTCCGTGCCAGCAAGAAGGTAGGGAGCGTGGCAACCCCCATGGTGAGGCCTCCACCTGCTCTGGGCGGGCCAGAGCCCCTCTCCAGACCCAGGCGGAGGGTGGAGAGCCAGCTCCGCCTGGGCTGCAGGTGGGCTGTCCCTGCCCTACCCGTTGGCCTTGGGGAGGGCAACCAGAGCCCTGGGGCCAGAGTCTGAGCGTGGCCTCCCCTGGAGTCAGAGTCCAAGCTGTGGTTGTCGCCAGCTCCTGTCTTCTGAGGTAGGAAAAGAGCAGTTTGGGGAGATCTTTTGCAGACGGTGAAGGAAATTTGGAGTTCAGAGCCCCTCCCACGCGCTGAACCTAGGCCCTGCCCGGGCAGCCCCTGAAGCCTAGCCCAGCCCAGTCCTGGGGCTTGCTTTTTGGGCAGGGCCTGGGCAGAGGGTCAGGCCTGGTCTCTGCAGGTCAGAAGTCGAGGGCAGTGGCTAAGAGAAGGACCTGGACATTTGCTTCCCTCTTGCACCTACTCTGTGGCCGTGGGCGAGGCGGTGGCCTCTGGTGCCTCAGTTTCCCCACCTGTAAACAGGGAGGGGCCCGTCTATATGAGGGTTAAATGAGGGCTGCCTGCTGGCAGGGCACACCTTGGTCAAAGGTCCGAACAAGCGGGCACTGGCCGTGCCCTTTGCCTCCGAGCTGCGGCGTGGAGCTCCGAGGCACTGCCAAGGGTCTTCTGTGTCTCCTCTGGGCACATGCAGTTCAGCTGGTGAGTCCTTGGCACTGTCCTGCCCTGGCTGGGGGGAACCAGGTCTCAGAGCCTTAGCTGAGCTACCCCGAGTCAGGGAACTCTTTGCTACAGACCTCCTTGAAGACCCCCTGCCTGTCCTGTGAAAGGACCCGCCTGCTGGTCTCCTGCTCCTTGGCATGGGCTGACCCTTCTGTAGCACTTTGGGATCCAGGGCAGAGGCCTTGAGACCACCGTCCGGACGGTGCAGTACTCACAGGGGACGCAGGGTTGGCCCCGGCCGTGAGGAGCCTGGTGCTTGGGGTCTTTGGGAGGGCCTCCAGCCCGCTGCTCTGTCTGTGATTTCCCCAGCTGCCCCCTTGGTGGTGGGTGGAGTGTGGCCATCCCAGGGGTGCGGCCGGGGGCAGGCGGGGCCTGGCCCTGTGCTGTCTGTCTCGTAGGCTGGAGAGCCATTTCCTGGAAACCGCAAGGGCAAGTCTCAGAGTTGTGGTCTGTTTTGATGGCCTGGGAGCCGGTTTATTCTCTCCTGGGGTGGGCGGGGGCCCTCACAAGGGGAGGGCCAGGTGGTCTCGCTGGGAAGCGGCAGCCTGTGGGCCTCTCTCAGTGCCCTCTTACCTGTGGAGTCCAGCCTGGAGGGGTTGTCGGACGGCTCTCTACCAGTGCTGCCTGGTGACCTCAGTGTCCTCACCCTCCTGGGCCTCAAGTCACCCTAGGAAACCAGGGGACAGGGGGATCAGACCTGGGCCTCCAGAGCCCTGCATGGGCCTCTAGAACAGCGGTTCTGGCAGGGAGAGGAGTCCAGGGAGACACAGGTACGGCTGCCATGCAGGCCTCGGGCAGCCTGGAGCTGCCTGTCTTTGTAGAGTGCCGGGCCGTGTCACTGATGTAACAGGAACTGGGCACCAGCCCCGACCACCGAGTCCCTGTGTGAGTGGTGTGCCACGGGGTCCCTCCCCTCCCTGGGGGGTGGCTGGGACCTCCTGCAGCTTTGCATCTGCGTTGGGGCATTCCCTCCGCAGCCAGCCGGCCAGGTCTGCAGGGACGCGACCCCTGCTGCGGTGTGGGGCTCCAGCCATGGCTTGTTTCTGGGGCCCGTCCTGTGTGTGTCGGGATGGGGGCCCTGCCTAGTGGCCCTGGGGAGATGTAGTGAGTCTCCCGCCTGTCAGTGCAAGGCTGTGCTTGCTGGGAAAGGGACACCCGTGTCCCTGAGTCCTGCCTCCCCTGCAGGGCAGGCCGGCGGTGGCGGCTGGGGAGACCATCTGTGTGCAGGACCAGAGGCAGCTGCCACAGCGTTGGGGCGGGAGGCCGAGGCGCCCTGCGCCGAAGGAAATTAATAATGGATGGGGCGATGAGGCGCGGGGCGCACAGCGTGTGAGGTGGGACTCAGATGTCCTTGCGGAACGGTCTCTCCTAGCTCAGCCCGGGATAGTCTGGCCGCCTGCTGGCGCCTTACTCCGGGCAGCCCGGGACTGGCGTGGGGCCCTCGGACTGCGGTGGGGGGAGACGTGTTTGTGCCTGACTTTTTGGTGGCAGAGCGATGGCACTATCGTGAAGTCTGTATTCTGAGCAGTGTCCAGCGAGCAGCACTGTGAGGCAGGTAAGAGGCCACGTCCGGCCAGGCGCGGGCCGGGGAGGGTAGCAGCCTGGCCCTCTGAAGGCCGCAGTGGTGTCCTGAATGCGTGCACAGCGTTTAAGGCCCAGCCGCGCCCAGGGTGTGGGCCCAGGCAGCTGGCACCTGCTCGGAGCCGCAGATGCAATTGGTCCGTGAACCTGAGAACGGAAAGGCAGGCCGACTAGACTCTCAGAGACAGAGGGAGTGGGAAAATGCGTGCCCCAAATCAGGGAAAACGAGTTCATTTTACCCTGGTGTCAGCACGTGATCTGGAGGGCCTGGGGGCCGCGGGGCTGGGAGTCCGCCAGTAATGACAGTCGCTCTGGCTGGCTATTGTGCAGAGCGCTTGTATTTGAGTTACGACGAGGGTTGTGATGATGTGTAAGCCCTGTGATTGAAGTCTCCTGCCGCTACCCAGGAAGACAGCAAGTGTTAGTCTAGCGAAAAAGTTCCTAAGGGCAGTAGGAATTGCTCGGTCGGCCGCCGGCCCTGCGCCTGCCGAGTGTTCTCCACGAGCTGTCTCACGGGGCTCATGGTGCCCACCCTCGCCCCTCTACACGGGAGGAAGCCGAGGCACACAGGCCGTCCGCTCAGAGCGTAGCTGGGATCTGGACTTGCGTTTGGACCGTTGCAGCCACTGCTTCCCTAATAGCCCCTCTGTGAGGTTCAGTCAAACCTCACGAACCCATGGTTCAAGTCCCAGACCTGCTGGCTTGAAAATCATGTCAAGCAGGGTTGGCAGGTGGCGTGGTGGCTAAGGTGCTGGACTCCCACATGGCTGACCGCAGTTCGAGTCCCGGACCTGGTGGCTTGCTATCTCTTTTTCTCTCTCTTTCTCTATCCCTCGCTGGTCAAATTAAAGCAAATAAATAAACTTGAATAAAAATTTAAAAAGAAAGAAAGGAAAAAAGAAAGTCACTCCGAGCATGTGTGTGCATGCCCAGGATCCCAGGAGGAGAATGGAGAAGGGACTGGGTGGTCCCCCCTGGGTGATTCCTCCCTCTCCGTCTCCTGCCTTCTCCGGTGAGCACATGCACGCGCCCTATGGCAAACCTGAAAAACCGTGCCACACTGGGAAGTCAGGGTGCACTCCGCCTTTGCCCTCAGGTGCCGCAGGCTGTGACGGTCGCCCACCCCACTGCAGCCCAGCCTGGGTGGGGGTGTCGGCCTCCATGGCGCAGGAGCCTGCTGATCTGTGTCTCCCGCCAGGGCGGGCAGAGGGCCCTTTGGTTCCCGAGGGAAGGACCAGGGGTCTCTGTGAAGCGCTGGCCTGCAGGGCCTGCCCTTTGCCCTGTCCTTGTCTGTGGTGTCCGGCCTGGACGGGGTGCGGGATGGCTCGTGAAGCAGACCAGAGCAGACCGTGTGCCGTTTATGTCCGCGCCCTCTCACAGATGAAGCAGCCCCGCACGGCCTTCGCACTTTCCCGAGGCTACAGGCTCGGCCTTGGTGGGGTGGGCTTGGCCCTGCAGGCTCTGCTCCTCACCAAGTCCAGTGTCTGTGTCCTGTGTCTGTGGTCATGTCGGTGTCCCATGTCCGTGTCTCATGTCCCATGTCCATGTCCCGTGTCTGTGTCCCGTGTCCGTGGTTGTGTCTGTGTCCCGTGCCCCATGTCTGTGTCCTGTGTCCCGTGTCCATGTCCGTGGTTGTGTCTGTGTCCCGCGTCCGTGTCCTGTGTCTGTGTCCCGTGTCCCGTGTCCCAGGGCAGTTAGGTGGAGCGGTCTTGATCTTGCTGCTTTGTGCTCTTGGGCAAAATGCTTACCCTCTCTGTGCCTCAGTTTGGTCACTTGTGAAGAAGACCGTGGTCTGTAAAATAGAAGGCGGATCCTGAGACCTGGCCCCTGGCCCACAGTGGCCAAGTCAGGGCCACCTGCTACAGGAAGGCTGGCAGGAGGTGGGAGGCCTGGCTCTCCCCTGGAGGAACAGACAGCCAGGGAGCACCCAGCCCGGGGGCCACTTGGGCTTGTGGAGTGCCCAGCCCCTGTCTGCCTCGGCTGGTGGTAGGCTTTCTAGGAGCAAGGGCTTCCGGGACCTGACGCCGCCTGACGCTGTGCCACCCCTGCAAAGTGGGGTCCGAGGAGGCAGAGGCTTGGCGAGTCGTCCCCTGGCCTTGGGAATGGGAGGGAAGAGGGGACTGGTATGCCACCAACTCAAGTGAAGCCGTGGTGGGAGGAGCCAGCTGGCCTGCTGTTGGGAGGACTCTGGGGAGGTGGCCGACCCTGCCTCTCCCGGTCCCTTCCCTGGATCAGTGCAAGTCCTGCTGTGTCTGCTTGTCCCCTGTGGACAGGGCTCAGCTGTTTGGGGCGGGCACGTGGGGCAGGGAGGCATGGAGACGGTGGGCCCCCCTCACGGAGAGGCATCCTTCCCAGCTCCACAGCTTCTGCCATGGGTCTTCGTGGTGCCCCTGGGGGAGCACACCCTGCCCCGTCCCTCACCAGCACAGCCTCCTGCGAGCCCCTGTCCATCGCTCCTGTCCCTCCCCTGCTGTCCTCTTCCTGGAGCAGACACTGTCCATGGTCACTGTCCACTGTCAATCATGATTTCCTTCCAGAAGGTGAGCTCCGTTGAGCCAGGCCTCCGCACCCCAGCCAGCACTCTGCTGTGTGTCCAGGAGCCGCGAGGGGCCTGGAGCAGCACCCAGGGTGCTTCGCTCCACCACCGCTAGCCACTCTGCAGCCCGACTCCAGGCCCTGGCATCCTGACTCGGCCAGGCAGGGGCGGGGGGGAGCAGGCGAGCCCGGGCGGGAGGGCTCAGTGCCCTCTGAGCTCCTGTGCAGAGGTGTGACACGGGGCCACCCGTCTAAACGGGCAACCGCTGACGTTGGTCTGTCTGCTCCCCCCGCCGTCCACTCTCAGAACCAAAGGAAAGCCCAGGCCGGTCAGCAGTCCCGCCCCGCCCTCTCCCTGCTCCGCAACCGTGTTTTGCTCTGT